GCCACTTTGCTGTGAATAATCACCATGGTGCTACATTCAGGTAGAGAATTCAGTGAATCAGTGGAACTCTTTAGATCAAAGGGTTGTAGAGATTGGGTCACTACATTTCTTCAAGGCTGACACGGACAGATTTTTAATCAAGTGTGAAGGGGGAAGGGCAGGAAAGTGAAGTTGTGGTTGAAGAGATCGTCCCATAAAATGTTGGAACAGACTCGATTACTTACTTCTGCTCCTGTGTCATATAGACTTATGGTCTAACTCAAGAAGACAACAAATGGTTTGGTCACAATTACTCTTCCCCCACTGAAGTTGTCAAGATGGGATGCCATTTGGAATGTTAATAGTACTGTAAGATTTATAGGAGGGTGAGCTCTTTCAAAGACAAGAAGAACAGTTATGACTGTACTTCACACATCATGTACACACAGATCTCTACTTCAGGACCCTACTTACTGACTCAGATATTCCTCCTTTGGCATGTCTTCAGCATGGTCTGTGTCATCTCTTGGGTTCCCAATGGTAGGCAACTTGCCCCAAAAATGACTTTTTTGCAATGAATGTAAACTGCTTGTTCTTCGACTGGATCATTCCAAATCCATCACCAGTAAAGCGTAAAAATGAATTGACTGTCAAGAATTCCAATGAGTGCTCTGACCACTGCACCTCGTGAGCCCCTGATCTGTAAAGCTGTGAATTGGAAAGCTAATTCCCAGAGAATCTGCTTGAGGTGAGGATAGGATCGGTATGACTCTTAATGACCTTTTATAGTAAACATATTTGACAGCTAAATTCATACTTGAATAAGCCACTTGGGGGAGATGCCAGGGGAAGGAAACTACAAAACTTTATGTCATGCCTTCAGGGACAAAATTGGAAGAGATGCAACATCTACATGTTTATCAGCTGATCACATGTGATTTCTACATGATTACAACTGTCTAGTCTCTAAAAAATGTGACAGCTTCAACTTTAATTGCGCCTTTAACTACATAAAACGTCTCAAGTACCCTTCATACAGAGGAAAGCAACCACTAGTGGAAGAAGATTTAAAGGGGCTAGCTGAACAGATGGGAAGCTTTTATAAGTAAGGAGAGGTGACAAGAAGAGGGGCCACTGACAAGTGCTCCAACTGTGGACTGAGAGCTATTCCAATCACAGTGGAGTGGAGGCAATGTAGATGTTCAGTCAAAAGTCTGGAGGGTACATGATGCAGCTTCAGGGCCTGTGAAAGGCTGCTCAATAAAGGACGGTGCAAGGCCGTTGTTGGGGGGTGGGGGAGAGGAGTCTACAGGGGAGACTGTTGAAATGGATTCATTGCAGGATGATCAGCATTGGGATTTAGTAAAGACACGTCTGATGTGGAGAGGAATATGGTAGAAGATAGCTATTTTGGGCTTACAGTTTTGGGTGAGTTTCAATTTAAGAAGGGCAGAACACAAGATGGCAGCAAGAAGCACTTAGTGACAGTGAAATCCAGAAGTAACAAATGATGATGAATGCTTTCAGTGGCTGTAGTTACAAGTGAAGACATAGATGCTCTAGTCAATGGCTGGTGTGTAGAACCAAACAAGACATTAAGGGTGATATCTTCAAATGTAGCTTGAGGAGTCAACCAGGTACAAGAATGGTGACAGGAACCAACATTCAGAGTTCTTTTAGTGGCATTGAGCAAAATGTCCTTAGTCTTGCCAATATTGAGTGAACTTGTTTTTAGCTCACAGTAAGACTGATTGAGGTGGGCAGATTTGTGGAAGACAGGTAGATGATTGCATGCCTGAGAAAAACAATTCCCAGACCTATGAATAATGTTACCTGGAGCAGCTGACAACACAAGGAAGACATTTCTAGTCATACCTGAGGTGACATTCGAAAGGTGGGAGAATTAGCCTTTGAAGGTGATATACTAACCCTTTTGGGCAGGTCAGAGTCAGTCCAGGCCCAGCATAGGGAGATGGATGGTGGAGGACAATAGACCAACCGAGCAGGCAGGAAGGTCAAGGAAGGTGAAAAGGGCAGCACAGTGGCTCAGTGGTTAGCACTGCTGCCTCACAGTGCCAGGGACCCGGGTTCGATTCTATCCTCTGGTAACTGTCTGTGTGGAGTTTGCATATTCTCCCCGTGTCTGCGTGGGTTTCCTCCAGGTGCTCGGGTTTCCTCCCACAGTCCAAAGATGTGCAGGTTAGGTGGATTGGCCATGCTAAATTGCCTGTAGTGTTCAGCAATGTGTAGATTAGGTTGGTTGGGTCTGGGTGAGATGTTCTGTGGGTCAGTGTGGACTTGTTGGATCAAAGGGCCTGTTTCCACACTGTAGGAGTTCTATGATAAAGGCATGTCACATTGTGATTACAGTGACATTTGACCCAGAGAGTTCTGGGCATTGTGTGCAGAGTCCAATTGAATTTAATGTTTGCTTTGGTGCAAGTGGTGAGCTGCGTAAAATTAATCTCAAAGCATATTGTAAAAAAACTCCTTTATATTAGTGAATTGGCATCAACAATTGGCACTGGCATCCCTCTTAACATATTCCAGCCACCTCCGCAGTTTATTAAAATCTTCCTTACTGGTAGTTCAAAGGAATCAGCCCTGTGATACAACATAAGTCAAGCACAAATGCATAAAATATACATACAAAATAATATAGCTCTTGGCCTTATTGAATGAGCAGCATCATAAATTATGTATCGTCAGTCATGCCTGTTATTTAATGATGTGTTGCGCATCATTCACTTTTAATAGTACAATGTACTTAACGACAGAGGACAAAGTTGGTAATATCACAGATGTGTTAACTTAAAATCTCCCTGTATTAAGCAGAAGTGAAGTAATAACTGAAGTAACAAAATGATACTGGACTGGCAGAAATCCTAAGACTCTGAAACTCTTAATTCATTCTTTGGAAACACCAAGATACTGGCTTCTATCTTCCACCTCCAAGATAATTTAAAATTCTACTGTGCACCATATTTAAAATTCCCAATTTTTCTGTTGCCCTGGCCCTATAATCCTTGATGCTCCTTGTGTAAATCTATCGAACTTAATCTTGAATGCACCAACAAACTGAGCATCCACAGCCTTCTAGGTAGATAATTCTAGAGATTCAAAACAATCTGAATGAAGAAATGCTTCCTTATCTCAGTCGTAAATAGTGTATCCGCTGCCTGAGGTTATGACCTCTAGTTTTATACTCTCTCAGGCAGGGGAAACAACGCCTTAGCTCCTAACATGTCAAGCCTTATATGGATTGCACACATTTCATTGAGATCAGTGCTCATTCTTTTAAACTCCAAAGTGTATGGTCTATTTGACTCAATACCTGTTGTAGAACGATCTTCTCATCTCATTTGACTGTAATTTGAGTTTCCACCAATCTTCTGCCAAACTTACTGTAGCTGACTGGGAGAGTCCCCAGTGAATTTTATCCCTCAGTTGCCTTTGCAATCCATATGAAACAGTTAGAGCTGAATCCTGCTCGATATAAAGTTGAAGTAATTGTTTCTAAAGCTACAAATTCATGTCAGCAAACCACTTCTTCCCCCTTGATCCTAAAATCTATCCCTTAGTTCAAAGTATTCCAACGCACTAAAATTATCAAGCAAATTGTGTTAAGGGAGGACTTTCTTGAAGCTTGTAAGAAATCACAATGAGAAAAGCATAATAGATAAATGTAGGCACAAATAAACAGATGGGATTTTACTAAATTGTTGTTAAAAATCAGTGACAGTCCAGTAAAGACATTCTTTAAATGAGGGACGTAGAGTTTGTTAGGGGCACAATTGTACTTAAAGCTCACAAATAAGTCACTTGCCCCAACAGATCTATGTTGATCTTAAGTTTCATATGAGCCTTTTTCCACCCCTCTTCATCTGAATCTATCAACGTATTCTGCCATTCTTTGTTCCCTTGTGTGTGTTATTGAACTTCACTTGCAATGCATCTATGCTATTCACCTACACTACCATCTGTAGCAGTGAATTCTACTTTCTCTGATCATTAAATAATAGCCCTAGTTCCAGTCCTCATTCTCATTTTCAGCTTGCAAGTAGGTGAAAACATTTTATTGGTCTCTATCCAAACAAACGCTTTATTATCTTAGGAAACAAAACAGAAATTGCTGGAAAATCTCAGCAAGTCTGGCAGCAACTGTGAAGGAAAAAAACAGAATTAATGTTTCAGAGTTAACCCTTCCTCAGGGTCACCGGACCTGAAATGTTAACTCTGTTTTTTCCTTCACAGATGCTGCCAGGACTGCTGAGCTTTTCCAGCAATTTCTGTTTTGTTTCCTGATTTACAGCATCCACAGTTCTTTCGATTTTTACTTTATTATCTTAAATGGCCATCTTGGATCACAACGCAGGCATCTCTTCAAGAGAAAAGAATTACATTTTGTTCACTTATTCCTGATTGGTACACTGTCTCAGTTCATTCATTGTTCTGGTAGATCTTTCTTGCATCTCCAGTGAGTTGCACCACACAAATCTGAGGCTGAGACAGATTTTTAATCTGTAAGGGAATCAAGGTTTATGGGGAATGGGCAAGAAAGTGGAATTGAGGATTATCAGATTGACCATGATCTCGTCAAATGGCAGAGCAGACTTGATGGCCTGACTGGCTTGTGAGTCTTAGAATTAGGATAAAATGTTGCAGCTATCCCAGGAGGAAGATAAGGTACACAGAGCAGGAAAAGTGCTAAGCGACCACTTTAGTTCTATTATCATTGCTGGAAGGCTAAATCACGGCTGCCCACTTTCCCTTTCAGCTGATACAGTGATGTTGTACGTGCGACTACATTCGATGGAAAACATTATCTGTTTCATTATGGAACAAAACGGGCAATAAAAATATTGAAATCACTGCTCAGGGCGAAATTCAAACTCCGTGTATTTAGAATCCTGTTTGCAATTTGCAGTCTCCCACACATAACCATTAGCCAGCGACAACAATCTAATACTTAGGAGAATAATATTCAGCTGGTGGAAAGACATGAAAGAAATGCACCGTACCCTTCGAATGCCTTCCTGGGAATCCTTCACCGAGGTTTCTGTGCCGTTACCTCTGTTGATCATCCTCCACATTTGGGCGTACATGTTATCCCTCTCAAACGGGTTCATTCCTTTCACACGAACATGCTCATACACCGCTGACTCCATCACTGTGCCGTAGGGAATGTCTGTTTGCTTGGAAAGATCTTGCAGCGACCTTGAGTTGAGAGAAATGACAGGATAAATAAACACTGCACCATTCAAAAAATAAATCCTAATGGCTCAGCCTAAGGTTAAGTGTGGATTACCCGTGTCCAAAAACTCTTACTTTTAACTGAAAGATAGCTGTAAGGCACAGTAGGTTTGCAACTGATCTATGAAACAGTTTACTGATCTTTGGACTATTTGATAGGGAACCTATGACTACAACTTTTAGTCGTCAATGCAGCACGGATAGTAGGGTTTGCGAGGCACAATGTCAATGGGGTGGAAGTAAGACCAGCTTTTGGATTATAGTACTTTCACAATTTCACAGTAATATAGAGTCATAGTGATGTACAGCATTGAAACAGACCCTTCAGTCCACCCCGTCCAGGCTGACCAGATATCCTAAATTAATCTAGTCTTATTTGCTAGCATTTGGCCCATAGCTGTTTAAACCCTTCCTGCTCATGGCTGCTGTGAACTTAGTCTACTTAGAAAGTGGTGATGGTGGGAGACTCCCAGGCAGAAGCAGAGATGCTTTAGGGATGTCTCAAAGCATTCCTGAAGCGGTCAAATATACCTGTTGATTCTTTGGAGTCCCCGTCTTGTGACAGACCAAAATAGAGAAGGCTCATTTGGGGAAAAAGGAATCACATTGAGAGATTTTGTTGGGAATATGCAGAGCGGAAGATGAGTCGATAGAGTGCGTGAACAAACCTCCAAACAGCTCGATGACCTGATCCTTCAAGAAGAACCTTTCCCCCCATCACACCCCCACCATGTGACTGAATCTGCAGATCACACATTGGACTTGTCAGCCACCACAGAACCCATCGAACAGGAGTCAAGCGAATCAATAAAAGACCATACAACGAGGGAATAAATATAACACTGCAAGGAAGGAGGAACTATAAAAAGGATGCAAACAACTCGAAGTGCTCCCTTCTGCTTACACAGGTGACTGATCCATTGATGAATCCCACATCCAGACATTTGCTACCCCTGGTCTCACTTACCACAAAATGCTCCTGCTGGCTATCACCAGGCAGAAATGTTATCCTGAGCTCATGCAAAACATTGTTGCTTATCCCGCAACTCATTTCTAGTCCTATTCACCTACATTGGCTCCCAGTCCAAAAATACCTCAACGTTAAAACTATCAACCTTTTCTTTTCAAGCCCTTCAATGACCTTGACCTGTCATAGCGATAAGTGTAATGACTTCTATCGCAATAACTCTCTGAGATAAAAACCAATAAATTGGGAACAAAACCAGAAGCTTCTGGAAAAGCTCAGTAGGTCTGCCAGCATCCGTGAAGAAAAATCAGAGGAAGAGACACCAGACCCGAAACATTAACTCTGATTTTCCTTCACAGATGCTGCCTGACCTGCTGAGCTTTTCCAGCAACTTCTGCAAACTCTCTGAGATTTTTCTGTTCATTTAAGTCTTGTCTTTACTGTCTTCAATTTTCATCGCTCCACCATGAATGGCTGTGCCTTCAGCTGTCTGGGCCTTAAGCTCTGGAATTCCCTCCTTAAGCTTCTCTGAACATTTACCTCTCCTCACTTTAGTTGCTTCTTAAAACCTTGGACCAAGCCTGTCTTAACATTTCTTTATGTTGCTGTGTGCCTAAGTCTCTTTGATAATGCACTGGGAAATGCTTTTTGTTTTGTAAAAGGTACAATATAAATGCAAGTGTTGTTGTTGTCCTAATGAGGGGCATTGGTCAACATTTTAAAGCAAGCTGCTTGCCTTCTTGGTTGGTATACGAAGTAAACCAAAGAAAGAAGATGGAAAAATATAAGGAGATAGCAAGAACTGCAGTTACTGGAAGTCAGAGTCAATACAGCGTGGAGTTGAAAGAACACAATAGGTCAGGCAGCATCAGAGGAGCAGGAAAGTCGATGTTTTGAGTTAGGACCCTTCACCAGGACAGGAAAAATATAAACTCATTGATTTCATTTGACTTATTTACCGATCATTAATAATTATCAAAGCATAGGACATTAAGAAATAAGAAAAGCAGTAAACTATTCAGCTGCTCATGCCTGCTCTGCCATTCAAAAGGATCATGTTTGATCCAACATTCCTCACGTCCACTCTCCAGCATTTCCCCATAATCTTTGATTGCCCAACTGATCAAGAATCTATCAATCTCATAAGTATCCACAAGGATTCTGCCCCCACAGGTCTCTGTGGCAATGAGTTTCAAAGACTCACAATCCTCTGAGAGGAGAAATTCCTCCTCATCTTAGTCTTAAATTGGTGCCCCTTTAATCTGATACTATGCCCTCTGGTCCCAGACTCTCCCATGAGGGGAAGCATCCTCTCAGCATTTATCCTGCCAAGCCCCCTAAAGAAGCATATGAATTTCAATGAGGTCATGTCATTCTTCTAGTGTCCCAACATATGTCCAAATCTGTGTTCAATTCTATGCTCATCTCTATCCCACTTCCTGAAGCAACAATCATTAATTCAATGAGAATTTGAACTTGCCTCCTCTCACACTATTGTTAGAAACCCTTTTAAATTTACAGCAGTTTTCAATAAGGCAAGACTGTTATTTTTTAATGGCAATGTACATGAACAAACTTAATGAAGAACGGAACTGGCCTGTAAAATTAATCTGATATTAATGAAATGGTGCTAACTGATGAGGTAGCAGAATTTTTAGGCCAAACCTTTTTAATAATGAATTTTTATAAAAATCTTGATGGAATATTTTTAGCTTCTATCTTCACCAATTTTTATTTCCTTGACTTCAATTTGCTCAGTACAAATATTTCTTAAAGTGATTTCATTTCAGTGTTTTGCTGGTCCCTGTGCTTCTTTCAATTTAGGGGACTTGATTTGTTGCTCGTAATTTAACGTGCATGACCCTGGGAAGATGGATTGCAGAGTGGGTCACCACTTTGGGAATAATCTGCATTCAGTCTGCAAGCATGATCCTGAGTTTCTGGTCACCTCATAATTTGATTGTCTCTGTTGTTCTCTCACTGACCTCTATATCCTTGGCCTGCAGCGATGAAATTCAACGCAAATGTATGGAGTCAACACAAGGGAATGCCACACTTTCAATCCAATGAGGTGTCATTTTACTTGAAATGTCACACAAATATTGACTCTGTTTTTCTCTCTCCACAGATGCTGCAAGGCCAGCTGAGTCTCTCCTGCATTTTCTGCTTTTATTTTTACCACCTGCAAGTTCCCCACCAAGCCATACACCATCCCGAATTGGAGCTATTTTCTTGTCGATTCACTGACTCTGGGGCAACATCCCTCCCTACAGCACTGTGGGTCTGTCTACAGCCTGAGGACTGTAGTGGTTGAACAAGATAACTCAGCATGTGGAAGCTTTGAAGAGGATGCAAAAGAGGTTTACCAGGATGTTGCCTGAATTAGAGTGTATCAGCTATAAGGAGAGGTTGAATAAACTAGGATTGTTTCACTAGAGCTTTGGAAGCTGAGGGGTGACCTGATAGATGTATATAAAATTATGAGAGACATGGACAGGGTGTATAGTTGGAGTCTTTTTTCCAGGGTGGAAATACCAAATACTAGGACTCATGGGTTTAAGGTGAGAGTGGGAAAGTTTAAAGGAGGTATGTGAGGCAGTTTTTTAACACAGAGAGTCATAGGCACCTGGAATGCACTGTCAGTGGAGGTGGTAGAAGCAGCTATAATAACAAAGTTTAGGAGGTATTTAGACAGACACATGAACAGGCAGGGAATAGAGGGATACGAACCATGTGCGAGTCGATGGGATTAGTTTAGAATGGCATCATGGTCGGCACAGACATGGTGTGATTAAGGACCTGTTCCTGTGCTGTATTGTTCTATATTCTGTTGTTCTATCACCACCTTCTCCAGGGAAATTGCACATGGTTAGTAAATACTTGCCCAGCCAGTGACGCTGACCTCCTGTGACACAGTTTTTTTAAAAAAAGTATGTGTCAGCACTTTAAAAAAATTGATAATGCTCCTATCCTTTGTTATCATCTCCCCAGATGACTCTCAGTCTCTTTGGTAAAACTACTGATTTCATATTCTCACCTACCTCCAGAGCAATAGCATATAACACAGAGCCACAACATTAATCTAAAATAGGGCATCAATTGCTTAATCGCTGTGGACTTATATTTGGGCTTAATGAAACTGAATATTATTGGAAAATCTTCTCATAATGCTTTCGTGGTTCCTTATAGACTTAGCTTTTGACTGTGTGTAGCTCACTACCACCTTCCCAAGGGCTATTAGGGATAAGCAATACATGCAGGCCCAGCCAGAGATGCTCACACCCCCCAAAATAAAGAAATAAAAGAAAAGATGCTTTGTCGCCGGGCCGGGGAATGGAGGAGTGGAGTGGTTGGAGACAGGAGCAATGAGACAGGAGGACTACAGGAGGGGAGGTCTTCCTGCTCTTGCCCCAATAAAGACTGATGTGGGTGGGTCATGCACAGACTTCATGTCAGGCCAGCAATTTGTGCACAACAAATGCCCACTCAATGCCCTCCTGACCTGAGGAAGGATGTTCTGGCAGCTGAGGGTTTATCAGATTTGATACCTGGGATGGCATGGCTTAGGTATGAAGATAAACTGGATCAGCTAGGAGCACATTTGTTGGAGTTTAGAAGAACGAGGGGGAATCTCATAGAAACTTCGAAAATTCTGACATCACTAGACAGGGTAAATGCACGAAGGATGTTCCCAATGACCAGAACGTTCAGTACCAGGGGCCATGGTACAAGTATAAAGAGTAGGCTATTTAAGACTGAGGTGGGAAGAAATGTCTTCATTCAGAGAGAGGTGAGCCTGTGGAATTCTTTACTACAGAAGCCACTCGAGGCCAAAACATTGGGCATTCAAGAAGGAGTTAGATATAGTTCTTACAGCAAAAGGGGTCAAAGGGCATGGGGAGAAAGTGGGAAGAGGATACTGAGCTGGAAGATCAGCCATGATCATCTTGAATGGTGGAGCAGGCTTAAAGGGCTGAATGGCCTACTCCTTCTTCTA